GACGACCTGAACCCAGTATAGTGAAACCACTATGTCAACCCTAACTAAGCCGTAGAGCCCTTTCAACTGTTCCTCTATGGCACCTTGCTCGTGAATGGGGTGAATCAAGCAGAATCTACCCGACGACTTTGTGACAATCATGTACAGCCACTTCGATGCAAAGGTTCTAGTTGGCTGGGACATGCCGGAGAAGCTGCTTGGCCTGCAGTGTTGCCTTGGGTTATCGGCTCAGTGTTTGGGGCTAAGCCTTGGGAAGGACTAGCCGTGTAATTCCTAGTTTCTGTCAGAGCTGCTCATCTTTCGTGCCATAAACCCTAAGTCCTAATCCCCAAACCTAAATCCTATATAAACCGTCCTCCGGGTTGACATTGAACAAGGCTTTCTACAGGACATTTGTCAGGTCCTTCGGCTGAAGCCGTGCTTTGATTAACGCTCTGCACTCTAAGCTGCAGCGAACCTCGCGGCACTAAGCATTCAAAGCGTGTACATATTTCGGGCAGACATGTCGGTACCCTCATCTCGACTCTCTAAGCGGGTGGGGGGAGAGGGGGCGGTTGGTGAAGCACATCCCTGTCAAAACCGAGCCCTCCCAGGCAGCCCTGAGACAGCCAAGGTATTTGATCTCTGACCCCGTCGGAGGTCGGCCGCTGTGGGTCCGTGGTACTTTCGATCCACATGATCGGGGCCAAACAGCATCTACAAAATTCCTACCGGAGCCATGCCGTGTGTAAACTAAGCTGTACTTGCCCCGAAAAGTTGAAACTCATCGGATACTGCCAGCCAAGGAAGCGTTAAACAGTCGAGCAGGATTACCGTGCCACTGTTTCAAGGGTTGTCGTTTCAGTGCTTCAAGCACCTCCTAAGTTTCACATGTAGGTGTGGATGGCGGTTGCATTTGTGGCTGCACGGACAGATTGCATACGTGTGCATTTGTTATCATGTGCTTGTGCTTGTTGCCCGATGTATGTATGTATGTATGTATGTATGTATGTATGTATGTATGTATGTATGTACATATATGTACCGCTAGATGGATGGAAGGATGGATGCATGCATGAGGAACGAAAGGAAGAGCTGCTTCCCCCTATGCAGGCCACGACCTTTTCGTCGCAGCCGAACGCAGCAATGGAGTGATGGGTGCCATCGGTCGGCAGGTGCGGCTTCGATCGCAACTTCCCAAGCCTTAGCACCTTAATATAGGGGCCTTTATAATCAGAAGAGGGTTTGGTGGTATACTGTATTAGAATTATAATAAGAAACTCCCAAAACACTATTCTAATTATCAAGGTCCCTACATTACACTTAAGAATGAATGAGATGGCTCCTTGCCATTTTATTTTGCCACACGTACATTCCTAGAATGAGTTGTGCCAGGCAAGGGTTTGTATGGAGACATTTTAAGCGAAAGCTGGTGCTGGGCAACACGTGCCTGGCACTGGCTTGCTGGCGAAGTGATACGATTAAAGTGGCCTAGGGCCTTGGAGCTGGGACGGAAAAGCTTCAGAGAAATAGGGCAGCTCAGCTGATGGAGCAGTGTCCGGCAGAGTGGCGTATCTTGCGACGACGCATAGAAGTGTGTCGATTAAGCAGCATGTGTAACATGATTCCTGTAGGATTAGGAGCTAGATATGCTTTTGCTCCGATTCCGGTCAAAGAGACGCAGGGAATTACAGCGAGGTCAGACGACGTTCCTGCCATGTCTGAGATCATAGCTACGATGTCAGGGATCCGAAGAACCTCAAATCCCCCATCCTAAGGCCTAAGCCGCAAAACGCAGAAGCTCTACAATGATCTCGCGTCTAATCTTGGGGCTTCAAAGAAGTAGCAACAACAGCCCCTTACCGTCCGCAGGAAACTTTACAGAGCTCATGAGGCCCTAGAGTCGAGAGCATATTTACCTCCTGAAAACTCTGGGAAGCCCTAAATGTGGATTTCTGTGCGATAAGCCCTAAAGCATAAGCTCTAACCCCAAACCCTAAAGCCTAGACTCCTAAACCCTCGCAGGTCTTCGAAGGTGGTCATCGGCCATTCACGCTGGACATCGCCATGCTTGCAGGTGGCAAAGCGGGATTCTGCAGTATCGGGTCGGTTAGGGTCTGGGCTTGCGGGGTTTGGGTTGTAGGGCTTAGTATTTTAGTTTTGGGATGTTTTGGGATTTAGGTTTAGGATGCGTGGTTAGGGTGTAGGCCTTCAGGGTATTAGGGTTTTGGGGTGTATTTTTCTTGACTGGTTTTATTTGTACGTCTAGATCTCTGGGTTTTCTTTTTGCACAAGCATGTAGGCTCGAGGTTTCTAGGCTGCTCGTCGTCGCCTTTTTCACTTCTATGCTGCGACACCTAAGCTTGCAACTCACACTGCTCCTAATCAATCTTGCTATGCTTGCAGCTAGACTGCAGACCTGTTTGAACATCGTGATGCCCCTGGACCTGGAGGTTGTCACGTATTCCTTTCAGCCATTGACTGGTCGTACAGCATGTCGCAGCAATATTGCACTAGACGATCCTTTAAAGATCTTACATTTCTTGACAAGACGGCTCCACATTATGGTTACTTCCCCTTACCTTGAGCTACCCAAACCTGCTGCTTTGTAGCTTCTTATTATAAAGCCTAATGGGAAGTTTATAGGGACCCGACAAAAAACGTAGGTTCTGGGAGGCTAAGGTTTTCAGATATGTGCCGCTCACATGAAGGACTTGAAGGACCCTTTATAAGGGAGATCGCAGGTTCGAGACCCAAACTTCACCCCGAAGCCGCAGACCTTTCAACCTCAAGCCCGAAACCTCTAACCCAGACCCTAAACCCTCTAGGATTTAGGGTTTAGGGTTCGAGCCCTTCTGAAATCCCTTTAAGAACCCAGTAGCACCACATCGCCACTGCAAAGCCCCCTATAGAACCCCTAAACCCTAAACCCCAAACCCTAAACCCCAAACCCTAAACCCCAAACCCTAAACCCTAAACCCTAAACCCCAAACCTTAAACCCTGAACCCTGAACCCCGACGTCAGGTCCAGGTCAGGCTCCGGTGCCTTTCGTGCGCCTGGAGCGGCCATTCGCCTGCACCTGCCGCCCTGTCGCAGCTTTAGGGCTTAGGGCTTTGGGCTTTAGGGTTTAGGGCTTTAGGGTTTGGGGCTTTAGGGTTTAGGGCTTTAGGGCTTCAGGGTTTTGGGCTTTGGGGCTTTAGGGTTTAGGGTTTTGGGGTTTAGGGCTTTAGGGCTTTAGGGCTTAGGGCTTTAGGGCTTTAGGGCTTTAGGGCTTTGGGCTTTAGGGCTTTAGGGTTTTGGGGTTTAGGGCTTTAGGGGTTTGGGGTTTCAGGGCTTAGGGTTTTGAATGTGGATCCTTGGCTGTGGATCCTTGGCACACACACGCACAACTGAGT